CTATTGGTGTTTTACGGTCGTGTTGTATCGGTGTTTCGGTACAACATCGGTGCTTTATCGGTGTTTAACGTTGTACTGTGCTATATACCATCTTCTATCGGTGTTTTAGTCACATAACTCACTATTTTTGAGTGAGTGACGTGCCTTCGAGAACAGGAAAAGAGGAATCTGCTATAGATCAGTTGGAAGAGGAGATGTTGTTTTGAGAAAAGGTAAATAGGAGGATGCACGAAGAGGTCAGAGGCGTGGTGAAGGAGGGAAGAGAAACTCTGCCAAAACGTGAATGTTGGAATAGCCCACTCTGTCTCGAGTCCTTGTGACAACTTAATCAAAGTGTAAGAGGGAAATTGCATTGGGAGGGGGAGGGGCGTGCATTTGGGGGGGGGCGTGATGACCTGAGAAGAATCTGCTAGGACCCTCATTGAGGGAGGTCTTGTGATGGTTGAATTGAAGAACTGTTTCGTAGCGCCCTCCCCCACCTGCTCGACGGCAACATATGAAAAGCTGGGAAATTTTTACGGAAAGTGATCGAAAGTTGTAGGTAAGATAGGGATTTGGGGAGGGTCGTAACAGAGGGAGGAATCTGGGGGATCGTTTTCGTCGAAAATTTTCACCGACGTTAGGACGTTCCTTGAGTCTCTGCTCTACTTGTAGTTATCATAAAATCGTATTCCGCTAGGCAAACCCACACTACCAGTTGCTGGACTAATAGGTGGCTGTTAACTCATTCAAAGGCGAAAGAACTTGCCTGTATTTCATAAATACGTGTGGTCTTCGAGCAAGAGACAGGCAAAATTTTTTTTTTTTTTTTTTTTTTTTTTTTTTTTTTTTTTTTTTTTTTTTTTTTTTTTTTTTTTTTTTTTTTTTTTTTTTTTTTTTTTTTTTTTTTTTTTTTTTTTTTTTTTTTTTTAATAGCTCGGTAGAAGTGGGAACTTGTAGCCAAATGTAAGGTAGAGTGCTGCGGAAGGAGGGGTGCTGTCAGGTACGGGACCCCTACTTCACACATCCACGATGCTTCTACCCATATTCCTCACCCCCCCCCTTCTCCAACACTACTATGTTCGACTAAACGCTTAACAGGACTCGCCATTGGTGGGTTACGTTCGCGTTCGAGCTGCACTGACTTTGCCCTATAGCTCAGAATTCTTCTGATAAAACTAGCATTTACAGTTGGTATCATCGAAATGAAGTGGATCGGTCTCAAGTGGGATGAATTGATTCCATCTACGGTGGGGGGGGTGAGGCGATTCAAAGACTACCCGCGACTGCATATTGTGCTTAGCGTCTTATTACAACCTCAAACCTATACAAACAAAGTGACCCTCGAGGGGAGGAAAATTTAATCGAAAAAAACCATGAGACACCCTAAAAATCATCCCTGGCGCCCTCACCACGAGTTTTCCGACCTGCTCATTTTGCGTCAACAAAGCGAAATCCTGCCGCTTCTGGGCTCACAATTGCTTCTTCGGCCATCATGAAGTGCTCGCCACTATCTAACTGTGGAAAAAACGGAAAATGCGGTGGGGAAACTTAGCTCGTGACAGAAAATAGCTCTCAGATTTGGTGGGCGGGGCAATAAGGAAGCGTCAAACCTGCACTCATGAAGACAGTAAATATCGTACTCACTGTAAAGCCGCAAAAAAGGGACAATCTTAAACTGCGGGCCAGATTACTTGAACAAGGAAGGACGCGCCTACGAATTGGTTGAGCACGAGGGCTGTCTTTGAGGCTGTGTTCGTACTTTGCGGCAGCGTCCACCAGCGACCATCAGGGTTTCGAGCTTCCGTCACCTGTCAGCGACTAGGAAAGCATAGATATCCATCTAGCGAACGGCAGCGTCTACCAGCGTCCTCTGGCGGCCGCTAACGACCACAAGCGTCCCGAGGAATTAGAAAAGTATGGATATCGATCTAGCATCTACAAGCGTCCGTCAGCGACCATCAGTGTTCCAGGCACCAGGGAAATATGGATATCGATCTAGCGTCTACCTGCGGCCATCAGGAGCATCGATGTCAAATGCGCAATATTACTAGCATCTAAATTGTTTTGAAAAAAATTTGTGCAAGACATTTTTGGACTTGTAGTGCAATGTGTAATAATGCGGTGCGGTTGCACTCGACCAGCACATTCCACAAGCCTAATCCAGCTTTACATCCTTCCATCTTCTTCCCCATACCTAGAACAGTCTTCTGCCAACCTCATACTTCCCCATTACATCTCGCCTTTGTCGCGCTGGACGCGATGGCGACGCTGGCCGTGTACGGTGTAGACGCTAGATCGATGTCCATACTTTCCTTGCCCTTCGAGACGCTGATGATTGCTGGTGGACGCTGCCGTCAATATGAAAGTAGCCTGAAGGGTCAGTGTGTAAGAGAAGAGTATTTCCTACTGAACGGGCACTCCCACTTGTGCACACAAATTCTCAAATGCCGCAATATTACTAGCGTCTAAATTCGTTTAAAAAAATTTGTGCAAGAAATTTGTGGGCTTTTTGATGGCTGTCGATATCGTGCTGTGCCGGGCTCTTTTTGTACAGCAGCACAGCATTGCTGGTTTTCCACCAGCTGGGTGGCATGCATTCCTGCAGAAAGCGCCTTATGGGGTGAGTCAGTTTCAACGACAAATGGCAGAAGCTTCTTCATATGTTCGTATTTGACTTTGTGTAACCGATTACTAGTGCTCTTCTCCAGCTGATGTTGATCGCTGAAGCACTAAGGGAGCGCGCACTGCATTAAAGAACATTCACGATTATCGAGCAAAAGCATCGGCTGATAGCGTGGAGCGCATTCTTTTACGGTTTCTTTTACACATTCATCTCCCAACTTCTCTAGCCATATACCTCCTATTTGGAGTTTGTGAGTTGAATTTGGCACATGTCTAATGTACCTGGCTATTTCACAAGGTCCAACAACTATACCGGGCCATTTCGGTGCAGTCCTGAAAAATGCTATAATGCTATGGTATGCTAAAAGTTCCATTTCACTTCACTTCTTTGACTTCTTTTTATGTTGTACAGGAAGGTGTAAAGAAAGGACGATGAGTCTGGGGCTGAGGATTCCAGCCCAACCCTAGGGAGGGGAAGCATCAACGAAATGGGTGAACCATTCTGAGAATCAGACGGTTTGATATTTCGTGGAAAAAGGGTCACCTAGCTCGAGTACTGGAAGAAATATGCTGCACTTAACGAAATAGCCCGAGACATTGGACCAGTGCCATATAACATTCAGTTTTATATTCGCCATCTGTCTCTTATAAAAATCATTGAAAAACAGCTGTCCATCACCCAGCTGTGCTCTTCGTTCACACGAGCAATTCTAATAGTTCTCAGTATTTTTCACAATTTTTAGCGCCAAATGTATTCTATTAATTAAGGCAGATCCATTTGTTAAGCCAGCAAAGAACCAATGAAACTTCCGACGCGGCTTGGTTAACCCAGGTTTAACCGCTGAATGTGGACAACACGGGCAGCGACGTGAAAACTTTTTCTGGTAAGGCAACAGGGCGCAAAAATAAACAAAACTACCTAGACAAGGGAAAGTACGGTGCAAAGACAGGACTTAACGTTGGGTGATTCTCTCCCCACCAAAAGAGATATCCACTTTTTCTATGATTTTTTTTCCTTTGCCCCTACGCTCCGGTAAGTTCCCATTCCGTGGCTCGCACTTATATTACTACCTTCTCAAATTGGTCAAAGTGGATGCTATGTCTTGACAGTAAGAGTCCTGATTGCTCGACAGTGTCCAAATTCTTTCTTCGAAAAAAAGCTCGGCATTATTGTTGGCTCCAATTTTCGTTTTATTGTGCCAAAGAGGTTGTTAGATGGAACCTTCATTGAAACTGGCCCGACTTGTCACCTAATTCGTCCCCTTCAGCGGCTAGTCCATCACCGCATGACGCACCCATTCCTTCGTACTGCTCATGCGGTGCTGCACTGCCCTCTGATTGTGTGGACGACGAACTAGTGGAAACGTCAAGCCAATTTCAATTATTACTTCCATCTAGCAACCTCTTTGACAGAACAAAACGAAATTGACAAGGTCCTGATTGCAATCAATCGTTCTGAGGTCCATAAAAAATTGAGCGTATTGTGAGTTCGTGTATTGCGTAGGAATATGCACATACATATGACCCTCTCCTACTTTCCCATCCGGACGGGCAGTTTCCAAACAAGTAGGAAAAACAAAAAACGCGGAGCAGAAATAAATTTCCTACCCGAATTTATCGCCTCAGTTTCCAATCCAAAGTCTCATACCGCTTCACTACACATTTGTACTTTGGAATGTGAATAGTTACAGAATGACACGAGTAAAAAAACAAGACATGATGGGAAAATTCGTAGGTACCTTGACTATGACCGAGCAAATGTCCTATCCGCTTTGCCTGTAGTGACGGTCAGAGACCATTTCTGTCTGAACAAATAGATCCTCTATCAGTACGATTACCGGTTGTGATTTTCTCAGTAGTTTTGTTCTGAACGTCCGAAACGTCCCAAACATCTGTCAGCAATGCTTGCATTATATTTTCAGCCTTTCACTTCTTAATACCTTAGTCACCGTGGTCATACGCATCACAGTCTCTGTTGGGAAGACATAAGAGAAAACCTTTCAGCTGCGCAGGTGCCGGGCAATGCTCCTCAGACCCCAATTAAATTTAGGCTATTGGTGGTTTTCGTGCTCCAATCGCAACTTGTTTTCGCTTTAGGACCAGCACCTATAACACGCCGGCGATTTCGCGCGCAGCGGTGGAGCTGCGAGCGTATTTCATGCTAAGGATGAGAACAATTTCTTAAATCTTCCCAATTTCTTCCCACAATAATTTTGGGGTAGCGAAGGGTGCGGCTTCGCTGGGAGTGGCTGGCGCTGCCGTGGATTGGGGTCGTTCGTGGTGGTTATTACTGCGTCCGTGTGTTGTCATCGTGCAATGAACAGTTGTTGTTTTTAATTCATTGTTCCTGAAAGTGACTCTTTCAGGTTGTTTGACCGTTTTATTGTGATACTGCGATGTCTAATCAGACTCCTTATATTGGGAGTAAAATAAGTCTGATATCGAAACTCGATATCCGCTATGAAGGAATACTCTACACTGTTGACACAAACGACTCCACGATCGCTTTAGCTAAGGGTTTGTTCCAAGGCCACTGGATATTGTTTATTGGATCTGTGATTTTTCAATCGGGATTCTTTGCAGTGCGGTCATTTGGTACGGAAGACCGTCCAACGCCGAATCCTGTCGAGGCACGTGACGATGTTTATGAGTACATCATATTCAAAGCGAACGACATAAAGGATCTTATTGTATGTGAAACGCCAAAGGTGAAGGGACTCATTTATTATGATGTTTGTTCTTTACCATCATTCTTATATTACAGGTTGCAACACTCGCGGGTGGGCTTCCTTACGACCCAGCTATAATATCCGTGTCCGCTCGGACAGGATCTGCTTCTGCCAACGAACAGCAGGCTTCCGCCGGCTCTTCTCGCTCGGATACACCGCATCATCGAACTAGCCCGAATTTAGCTCAAGGCAATCGAGCGCCAGGTGCTGGTCGAAATGCAGCGGCTCGTACGAATCGCGGAAACTTTGCGCAATCCAGTGAGTTCAGAAATTCGTTCAGGCCACGTGCATACATGACGGCTTCCAAGAAATGACGAAACTACGGGTGGGAGAAAATATATTTACGGATTCAGAGATTCGCGGAGTAGTGAGAAACTGCGCTAAAACGAAAGTATAGCTGTCGATCTGAGGAAATGGCGAGCCTGGGTAAATGCTGAACCTGCAGAAGTACTGGAATTCCTCAGGCCGCCATCCCACAACACAGATCGCGCGGAGTCTGCAGATCGCGCAGAATCTGCGGGAAAAGAATACATATCGATCTGAAGAAACCACAAACTTCGGAACGCGAAGAAACGGCACCTACAGTGGCGTCTTCTTCGGCCCTTCTAATTTTGCGCATTCCGCGAAACCAACGGGTTCTTCAGAGCGACGAGATATGCATTCTTTTTCCGCAAATCCGCGGACTCCACGAAATTTGTGTCCAGAACGCGGCCGATTC